CTTTTTTTTTGTTTTTTTTTTTTTTTTTTTTCTTTTTTTTTTTTTTTTTTTTTTTTTTTTTCCCGTCACTGTTATTCTCTTAACTCTCTTCCGTGCTCCGGAGCAGTCACGTTGTAGAGCAAACAGTTCTTTTCTTACATTTGACTGCGTCCGGCTTCGGCTCGCATCATTGAGAGGGAAGAGGGGAGGGGGTGGGGCGGGGAGATAGAGATATTCTAGATATGAAAGGCCAGAGTAAGATAGAGAATCAGAGAGATCTTGATATTTAGAGTAGGCAAGATATCATAGATAGAGAGATAGTGAGAGTCATATTATATATAAGCCGATATATATATATGTAGTAAAAGAAGAGAGAGAGAGATAGAATCATTGATGTTTTAACAGTGTGAATCAGCCCCGGCCCTGGCCAGTAGCAGAGATTCAACACACCAGGTTTATGTGCACATGCACGGAATAGGAGAATGTTCCAGTAGTGAGTTTAACCTAGTTGTATTTAGCCCCTGCGCTGCCTGGACGTTCCAGTAGTGAGTTTAACCTAGTTGTATTTAGCCCCTGCGCTGCCTGGCCTCCCGTAGTGAGGTTTAACCCTAGTTTATTTATCCCCTTCGCTGCCCTGGAACTTCCGTAGTGAGTTTAGCTGTATTTAGCCCCTCGCTGCCCTGGTACGTTCCAGTAGTGAGTTTAACCCTAGTTGTATTAGCCCCTGGCGCTGCCTGACGTTCCAGTGTGAGTTACCTATTTGTATTAGCCCCTGGCTGCCCTTGAACGTTCCATTAGTGAGTTTATAAACCCTAGTTTTGTATTTAGCCCCTGCGCTGCCTGGACCTTCCAGTAGTGAGTTTAACCTAGTTGTATTTAGCCCCTGTGGCTAACTGGACCTCGTAGTGAGTTTTAGTTGTATTTTAGCCCCCTGCGCTTGCCGGACTCCAGTAGTGAGTTTAAACCTAGTTTGTATTTAGCCCTGGGCTGCCTGGACCTCTCCAGTATTGAGTTAACCTAGTTGTTATTTAGAAAGCCACCTGGGCTTGCCTGAACCTTCCAGTAGTGAGTTAATACCTAGTTGTTTTGCCCTGGGCTCCTGGACCTTCCAGTAGTGAGTTTTAAACCTAGTTTGTATTAGCCCCTGGGCTGCCTGGACCTTCCAGTAGTGAGTTTAATAACCCCTATTGTAATTTAGCCCCCTTCGCTGTCCTGGACCTTCCAGTAGTGAGTTTAACCTAGTTGTATTTAGCCCCTGGGCTGCCTGGACCTTCCAGTAGTGAGTTTAAAACCTAGTTGTATTTAGCCCCTGGGCTGCCTGGACCTTCCAGTAGTGAGTTTAACCTAGTTGTATTTAGCCCCTTCGCTGCCTGGACCTTCCAGTAGTGAGTTTAACCTAGTTGTATTTAGCCCCTGGGCTGCCTGGACCTTCCAGTAGTGAGTTTAACCTAGTTGTATTTAGCCCCTTCGCTGCCTGGACCTTCCAGTAGTGAGTTTAACCTAGTTGTATTTAGCCCCTTCGCTGTGTGCACAGGTGTGTGGTGGACTCAGGTGCAGAGTGAACTCGCAGGGATTCATCCCATGTTATATAACAGGACACTGTTTCACATCACACACACACACACACACACACACACACACACACTCACCACGCCACACCCCCCCCGCCACGCACGTCCACGTAACCACGTACACGTACACAAACCACCCACACACACCCGATTCCTATTCCGATCAATTCAACATCCTAAGAGGTGATGGGGCCTTGGTTCACTGCTTCTATTAGTTCTCCTGTGCTCGTCAGGCCCTAACATGGACGTGTGTTCCTCAGGCCCTAACATGGACGTGTGTTCCTCAGGCCCTAACCATGGACCTGTTTCCTCAGGGGGCCCTAACATGGATGTGTTTCCCCTCAGGCCCTAACCTGGATGTGTTTTCCTCAGGCCCTAACATGACGGTGTTCCTCAGGCCCTAACATGGGACGTGTTTCCCGGCCCTACATGGACGTGTGTTCCTCGGCCCTAACAGGACGTGTGTCCTCGGCCCTAAAATGGACGTGTGTGCCTGCAGGCCCTAACATGGACGTGTGTTCCTCAGGCCCTAACATGGACGTGTGTTCCTCAGGCCCTAACATGGACGTGTGTTCCTCAGGCCCTAACATGGACGTGTGTTCCTCAGGCCCTAACATGGACGTGTGTTCCTTCAGGGGCCCCTAACATGGACGGGTGTTTTCCCAGGCGCCCTAACATGGACTTTTGTTCCTCAGCCCTAACATGACGTGTGTTGTTCCTCAGGCCCCTAACATGGACGTGTGTTCCTCAGGCCCTAAACCTGGACGTGTGTGTGGTTTCCTCAGGGCCCTAACATGGATGTGTGTTTCCTCATGCCCTAACAATGGGCGTTTGTTTTTTCCTCAGGCCTAACATGGAGCCGTGTGTTCCTCAGGCCCTAACATGGACCTGTGTTCCTCAAGCCTAACAATGGACGTGTGTTCCTCAGGCCCTAACATGGACGTGTGTTCCTCAGACCCTAACATGGATGTGTGTGTGTTCCTCAGGCCCTAACATGGACGTGTGTTCCTCAGGCCCTAACATGGATGTGTGTTCCTCAGGCCCTAACATGGACGTGTGTTTCCTCAGCCCTAACATGGACGTGTATTCCCAGGCCCTACAGGACGTGTTTTCCTCCTGGCCCCTAAATGGCGTGTGTTCCTCAGGCCCTAACATGGACGTGTGTTCCTCAGGCCCTAACATGGATGTGTGTTCCTCAGGCCCTAACATGGACGTGTGTTCCTCAGGCCCTAACATGGATGTGTGTTTGTGTCCTCAGGCCCTACATGGACCGTTTGTTCCTCAAGGCCCTAACATTGGATGTGTGTTCCCCTCAGCCCTAAAATGGACAGTGTGTACTCCATGCCCTAACATGGATGTTGTGTTCCTCAGCAGGCCCAAACATGACGTGTTGTTCCTCAGTCCTACATGGACGTGTTTTCCGTCAGCCTAACCATTGACGTGTGTTCTCAGGCCCTAACTGGACGTGGTTCCTCCTGGCCTAACATGGACTGTGTGTGTTCCTCAGCCCTAACATTGACTTGTTGTTCCTCAGGCCCTAACTGGACGGTTTTTCCTCAGGCCTAACATGGACGCCGGGGTTTTTTTGGTTCCTCAGGGCCTAACATGACGCGTGTCCTCAGGCCCTAACAGGACGCGTGTTTCCTCAGGCCCTAACATGGAACGTGGTGTTCCTCAGCCCAACATGGACTTGTGTTTCCTCGGCCCTAACATTTGACGTGGGTTTCCTCAGTCCCTACCTGGACGTGTGTTCCCCAGACCCTAACATGGATGTGTGTGTGTTCCTCAGGCCCTAACATGGACGTGTGTTCCTCAGGCCCTAACATGGATGTGTGTTCCTCAGGCCCTAAAATGGATGTGTGTTACTTCAGGCCCTAACATGGATGTGTGTTCCTCAGGCCCTAACATGGACGTGTGTTCCTCAGTCCCTAACATGGACGTGTGTTCCTTAGGCCCTAACATGGACGCGTGTTCCTCAGGCCCTAACATGGACGCGTGTTCCTCAGACCCTAACATGGACGCTGTTCCTCATGCCCTAACATGACGTGTGTTCTCAGGCCCTAACATGGACCTTGTGTTTCTCATGTCCTCAGGCCCTAACTGGACGTGTGTTCCTCAGGCCCGGACATGGACGTGTGTTCTTCCTCAGGCCTCTACCATGGACGTGTGTTCCTCAACCCAAATGGATGTGTGTGTGTTTCCTCAGGCCCTAACATGGACGGTGTGTTCCTCAGCCCTAACATGGATGTGGTGTGTGTTCCTTTCCTCAGCCCTAACACCTGGACGTTGTTCTCAGGCCTAACATGGACGTGTGTTCCTCAGGCCCTAACATGGACGTGTGTTCCTCAGACCCTAAATGGATGTGTGTGGTTTTTCCTTTCGCTCAGGCCTAACATGGACGTGTGTTCCCCCCGCAGGTGCCCTAACATGGATGTGTGTTCCTCAGCGCCCTACAATGTGATGTGTGTTCTCAGGCCCTAACATGGAGGTTGGTGTTTTCCTCAGGCCCTAACCTGGACGTTGTTCCTTCGTCCCTATCAGGACAGCGTGTTTTCCTTAGGCCCTAACATGGACGCGTGTTCCTCAGGCCCTAACATGGACGCGTGTTCCTCAGACCCTAACATGGACGCGTGTTCCTCAGGCCCTAACATGGACGTGTGTTCCTCAGGCCCTAACATGGACGTGTGTTTCTCAGGCCCTAACATGGACGTGTGTTCCCTCAGGCCCCTGACATTGACGTGGTTTCCTCAGGCCCCTACCATGGAACGTGTGTTCCGCAGACCTAACATGGAGTGTGTGTTTCCTCATGCCCTAAACCTGGACTGTTTTCTCAGGCCCTACATGGACGTTGTTTGTTTCCTCAGGCCCTAACATGGACGTGTGTTCCTCAGGCCCTAACATGGACGTGTGTTCCTCAGGCCCTAACATGGACGTTGTTTCCTCAGGCCCTGACATGGACGCGTGTTCCTCAGGCCCTAACATGGACGCGTGTTCTTCAGGCTCTAACATGGACGTGTGTTCCTCAGGCCCTAACATGGATGTGTGTTCCTCAGGCCCTAACATGGATGTGGTGGTTCCTCAAGCCCTAACCTGGACGGTGTGTTTTCGTCTCAGCCCTAACATGGACTCGTGTTCCTCATGGACCTAACAATGGACTTGTGTTCCTCAGGCCCTAACATGATGTGGGTGTTCGCTCAGGCCCTAACATGGATGTGTGTGTGTTTCCTCAGGCCCCTAACATGACCGTGTGTTCCTGCATGCCCTCACATGGACTGTGTTCCTCAGGCCCTAACATGGACGCGTGTTCCTCAGGCCCTAACATGGAACGTGTGGTGCCTCAAAGGCCCTAACGTAACGGCGTGTTCCTCAGCATGCCCTAACATTGACGCGTGTTCCTCAGCCCTAACATGGACGGCGTGTTCCTCAGGCCCTAACATGGACGTGTGTTCCTCAGGCCCTAACATGGACCGTGTGTTCCTCAGGCCCTAACATGGACGTGTGTTCCTCAGGCCCTAACATGGACGTGTGTTCCTCAGGCCCTAACATGGACGTGTGTTCCTCAGGCCCTAACATGATGTGTGTGTGTTCCTCAGTCCTAACATGGACCGTGTGTTTCCTCAAGTCCACCATGGATGGTGTGTGTTGGTGCCTCAGCCCTAACATGGACGTGTATTTCCTCATGCCCTAACATGGACGTGTGTTTCCTCAGGCCCCTAACATGGACGTGTGTTCCGCTCATACCCTAACATGGATGTGTGTGGTGTTCCTCAGGCCCCTAACATTGACGTGTGTTCCCCTCATGCCCTAACTTGGATGTGTGTTCCTCCTCAGCCCTAAAATGGATGTGGTGTTACTCTCAGGCCCGTAACATGGAATTGTGGTTTCCTCATGCCCTAACATGGACGTGTGTTTCCTCAGTCCCAACATGTACGGGGTGTTTTTCCTTAGCCCCTAACATGGACGCGTGTTCCTCAGGCCCTAACATGGACGCGTGTTTCCGCAGACCCTAACATGGGACCGTGTTTCCTCAGGGCCCTAACATGGACGTTGTTCCCCTCAGGCCCTACATGGACGTGTGTTTTCTCAGAGGCCCTAACCTGGACGTGTGTTCCTCAGCCCCTACATGGACGTTGTTCCTCTCAGGCCTACCATGGACGGTGTTCCTCAGACCCTAACATGGATTTGTTGTGTTGTTCCTCAGGCCCTAACATGGACCGTGTGTTCCTCAGGCCCGACCATGGATGTGTGGTGTGTTCCTCAGCGCCCTAACATGGACGGGTGTTTCCTCAGGCCCTAACATGTAACGTGTGTTCCAGGGCCCTAACATGGACGTGTGTTCCCAGGCCCTGAATGGCCGGCGTGTTCCTCAGGCCCTAACATGGAACCGTGTTCTCAGCTCTAAAACATGGACGTGTGTTCCTCAGGCCCCTAAACATGATGGGTTTTCCTCAGCGCCCTACAATGGATGTGTGTTCCGCGGCCGAACATGGACGTGTGGTTTCTCAAGGCCCTACATGGACCGTGTTCCTCAGGCCCTACATGGAGGAACGTGTGTTCCTCAGGCCCTAACATGGGATGTGTGTTCTCATGCCCTAACATGGATGTGTGTGTGGTTCCTCAGGCCCTAACATGGACGTGTGTTTCCTCAGGCCCTCACATGGACGTTGTTCCTAGGCCCATAACATGGAACGTCGTGTTTCCTCAAGGCCCTAAACATGGACGTGTGTTCCTCAGGCCCAACGGAACGCGTGTTCCTCAGGCCCTAACTTGACGCGTGTTCCTCAGGCCCTAATTAACATTGGACGCGCAATGTTCCTCAAGGCCCTACATGACGTGTTTCCTCAGGCCCTAACATTGACGTGTGTTCCTCAGTTCCCGAACAATGGAACGTGTGGTTCCTCAGGCCCTAACATGTCGTGTGTTCCTCAGGGGCCAACATGGACGTTGTTCCTCATTCCCCTAACATGGATGTTTGGTGTGTTCCTCAAGTTCTAACATGGACGGGTGTTCCCATGCCCTAACAGGATGTTTGTTCCTCAGGCCCGAACAATTGACGTGTGTTTCCTCAGGCCCTAACATGGAACGTGTGTTCCTCAGTGGCCCTAACATGGACGTGTGTTCCCTCAGGCCCTAAATGGACGTGTGTCCTCAGGCCCTAACAGGACGTGTGTTCCCTCAGTAGCCCTAACATGGACGTGTGTTCCTCAGGCCCTAACATGGACGTGTGTTCCTCAGGCCCTAACATGGACGTGTGTTCCTCCGCCTCTGGCCCTAAATGGACGGTGTTCCTCAGCCCTAAACATGGACGTGTGTGTGTTCCTCCGCCCCCTAACATGGACGCGTGTTCCTCGGGCCCTAACCATGAACGTGGTTCCTCAGGCCCAACCTGGAGACGTGTGTTCCTCAGGCCCTAACATGGACGTTTGTTTTCCTCCGGCCTAACAAAGACTTTGTGTTCCTCAGGCCCTAACATGGACGTGTGTGTTGTTCCTCATGCCCTAACATGACTCGTGTTTCCTCACGCCCTAACAGGACGTGTTTTTCCTCACGGCCCTAACATGGACATTTGTTCCTCAGGCCCTAACATGGAACGTGTGGTGTGTTCCTCAGGCCCTAACATGGATTGTGTGTTCCTCGGCCCTAACATGGATGTGTGTTTTCCTCAAGGCCCCTACCCATGGATGTGTGTTCTCAGGCCCGAACATGGATGTTGTTCCTCAGGCCCTAACATGGACCGGCTGTTCCTCAGGCCCTAACATGGACGTGTGTTCCTCAGGCCCTAACATGGATGTGTGTTCCTCAGGCCCTAACATGGATGTGTGTGTGTTCCTCAGGCCCTAACATGGACGTGTGTTCCTCAGGCCTAACATGGACCGTGTTTCCCTCAGGCCCTACATGGACGCTGTGTTCTCACAGGCCCTAACATAGCGTGTGTTCCTCATGCCCTCAACGTGGACGTGTGTTTACCTCAGTCCCTAAACATGATGTGGTGGTTCCTCAGGCCTAACAATGGGAACGCGTGGTTTCTCAGGCCCTAATATGGACGTGTGGTTTCCTCAGGGGGCCCTAACATTGAGTGTGTTTCCTCAGGCCCTAACAAACATTGGACTTGTGGTTCCGTTCAGGCCGCTAACATGGACGTGTTGTTTCCTCAAGGCCCTAACATGGACGTGTTGTTCCTCAGAGAACCTAACATGGATGGTGTGTGTTCCTCAGGCCCTAACATGGACGTGTGTTTTCTCAGGGCAGGCCCTAACATGGGACGTTTGTCCTCAGGCCCTAACATGACGTGGTGTTCCTCAGCCCTAACATGGACGTTTGTTCCTCAGCCCAGTCCTGGGACGTGTGTTCCTAAGGCCCTAACCTGCGTGTGTTGTGTTCCTGGCCGGCCCTAACATGGACGCGTGGTTCCTCATGCCCTAACATGAACGTGTGTTCTCATGCCTAACATGACGTGTGTTCCTCAGGCCCTAACATGACGTGTGGTTCCCTCAGGCCCTTAACAGTGGACGTGTGTTTCCTCAGAGGCCCTAACAGGACGTGTGGTGTGGTTCCTCATGCCCTAATCATGAGCGTCGTTCCCTCACGCCCTACATGGACTTGTGTTCCTCAGGCCCTAACATGGACATGTGTTCCTCAGGCCCTAACATGGACGTGTGTGTGTTCCTCAGGCCCTAACATGGATGTGTGTTCCTCAGGCCCTAACATGGATGTGTGTTCCTCAGGCCCTAACATGGATGTGTGTTCCTCAGGCCCTAACATGGATGTGTGTGTGTTCTCAGGCCCTAACATGGACGTGTGTTCCTCAGGCCCTAACATGGACGTGTGTTCCTCAGGCCCTAACATGGACGCGTGTTCCTCAGGCCCTAACATAGACGTGTGTTCCTCAGGCCCTAACGTGGACGTGTGTTCCTCAGTCCCTAACATGGATGTGTGTTCCTCAGGCCCTAACATGGACGCGTGTTCCTCAGGCCCTAATATGGACGTGTGTTCCTCAGGCCCTAACATTGACGTGTGTTCCTCAGGCCCTAACATGGACGTGTGTTCCTCAGGCCCTAACATGGACGTGTGTTCCTCAGGCCCTAACATGGACTGTGCTTCCTCATTCGCGACCCTAACCTGGATTGCTTCGTTCTTTTTTCACTCTGCGCTCGTGGTCCTCGCTGCCGTCGTGACCTGCCTGTCAGGTCCTCGTTCTACCATCCTAGTGGTAGGACCGGCGTGGAGGTGGGTGCCGCTCCTGGCTACAATGGACGGGTTTCCTCAGGCCCTAACATGGACGTGTGTTCCTCAGGCCCTAACATGGACGTGTGCGTCCTCAGGCCCTAACAATGACGGTGGTTTTCCTCAGGCTCCTAACAATGGCATGTGGTTGTTTCCTCCTCATACCCCTAACATCGACGCCGTGTTCTCTCAGTCTCTGGCGCTAATACTCTTATGCTGCCCTGGCCGTGATCATTTTGCGACTCGCTATGTGGCTTCGCTTGATCCTAGGTCCGTTCACGTGTGCTCTTGTACAATGGACGCGTGTTCCTCAGGCCCTAACATGGACGCGTGTCGCTCAGGCCCTAACATGGACGTGTGTTCCTCAGGCCCTAACATGGATGTGGTGTCTCACGGCAGCCTCGCGCGCCGGTCGTGTTGCTCCGTAAGGGCTCGTCGTCGTGCGTGCTCCTCTAGACGCCGTGTGAGGAGGCGCTCCGCTCCCGCTCCCTGTGCCCACTCTACTCGTGGTCAGCTGCCCCGACGACTCGCTATCTAGCGGCCGGAGGCCGCGCAGGACGGTCGCGTCCGCGCAGCGGTGCCGCTCCACCATGTGAGGCCCGCGTGCCCGATAGCCCTGGGCTCGCTGTCTCGCGTCGTCTCTTGTTTTCGCGGCGTTCACCTACATCCTTCCTTGGTCTCTCCCGTTCTGTCTCCTTGTCTCCCTCTCGCAAGCTCCCCCATTAGGCTATGGGGACTGTGGTCTGCGGCTCTGCCGTCTCCGGCAGGCCATAAGTCATGGGCCGGGTGCTTCCGCCATTTTTCCAGGCCCGATGACGGCTGCACGTGGACACCGCCGTTGGGTGGGGGCGCTGGAGGCCGGGCTCCGAACCAGGGAGGTGGGGGGTAGTGTGGGCCCGCAGTTGGGCCTCAACGTGCGACGCGGGCGCGGCGGTACGCCGGCAAGCCGCCGGCGGAGAGCGTCGCGTCCTGCCCCCATCGGTAACGCTTTGGATGTTGTTGTTCCTCTTCCTTTCCTTCCCAGGTCTTCTCCGGCGCCTCTCTGTCACTTAGGCGGCGGTCTCCGTATGCGGCGGAGGACAGCGATTGGAGACCGGACCGGCGGCCCGGCCCGCCGAACCGGCGGTCTCGAGCGTAGGGTGTTTCACGCGCGGCCTGCCCCGCGTCTCAACATGGACGGGCGGGCCGGTCAGCGGCCCGAGCCCTATGGGACCTCGGTGTGCGTCCGTAAGGGCTTGCGGGCCCCGCCACAGCAGAGGATGGGCCGTCGGGTGGTGGGGGCGGCCGCACAGCGAACTATGGCCCGCACACCCATGCCGTCACAGGCGCGCGGTCTTGTCTGCGCGCTGCGACCATCAAGCCCGGCGCAGCCCCCCGCTGTGGACGACGCGCGAGCGGGCGAGTGAGCACCGGCTTGCGAGCGTAGGGCGCGCGCCCGGGGCGCAATTACCGGTGGGGGGGGCGGATGGTGCCGGGGTCACTCATGGGCGGGGTCAGGCGGAGACGGGCGGGCGTCTGAGGCCCAGGGCCCCCGCGAGGAGAGGAAGCTCACCGAGAAAACGGGGGGCCCGGGCCCTAGCGTGCTGGCAAACGGAGCGACCCATCGCGCGGGCCCCGCTGACGGCTGGGCTCCGAGTGTGAGCTCGCTTGTGGGGCGCCCCTCTGCTGGACGAACGCTCACGAGCCCTAACATGGACCGGTTGGGCCGCAACAGAGGGGCCCTAAACATGGACGTGTGTGGGTCCTCAGCCCTAAGGGCAGATGGGGGGACGCGGGTGTGTTTTCCCTGCAGGCCCTAACATGGCCCTCATCAACCACCTGGAGCAGAAAGACACGACGCGAGTTGGAGAGGGAGAGAGAGAGAGAGAGAAGAAGAGAGAGAGAGAGAGAGATGGAGAAGAAAGAACACAAAGAAAATAGAGGGATGTAGAGAGATCGATGGAGAGGGGAGAAGAGAGAAGGAGAGATTCACACAGGGCGCTCAGAGCAGATGGCAGGGCTGCTGCTCCAGTCGCTGGAATAGAGAGAGGGATGGAGAGAAAGAGAAGTGGGGTGGATGGAGAGAGGGAGAGAATCTCAGAGAAAGGAGAGAAGAGATAGAGGGTAGAAAGGTGTCAACTAGCATTCAGGTTCCCCCTTACACACGTCCTCTTTAGCTCAATTGGTAGAGCTGGCGCTTGTAACGCCAGGGTAGTGGGTTCGATCCCCGGGACCACCCATACTGTAAAAATGTATGCACACATGACTGTAAGTCGCTTTGGATAAAAGCGTCTGCTAAATGGCTTATTATTATATATATTATACAATTTAACCCTGCATATTGACATAACATAACCATTTAACATAACATAACCATATTCAACATCATTCAAACAATAGCAATACTAGCAATGGCCAATCTCTGCTGAGTGTAACAAAACATGAAGAACACCTTCCTAATTTAAGTTTTGCCCTCGAACACAACAAGCCCTCAATTCGTCGGGGCAATGTACTCTACAAAAGGTGTCGGAAATCCGAAAAAGCGTCCACAGGGATCCTGGCCCATTTGACCCAATCTTCCCCACAGTTGGTTTTAAGTTGGCCGGATTCCCGGGGGGGGTGGCCAAATTTTGATACACACAAAACCGTTGAGGGAAAAACCCCATGGGTTCTTAAAAACCCCTGCGCCTTTGGGCATACTAAATAAGGTCCCTTTTAAAAACACTGATTAAGTTTTTAAAACAAGGACCCAAAAGGGATCATAGCCACCTGGGTTCAAAAAAACCCACATTCAAAAAAAGGGCTTAATTTTATATATTCAATTTGTTAGAGTACAACAGTCAATGCATTGAACCATGTTGCTAGCTACTGCTAGCCCCCTGAATTGTGTCGGGCCCCTTTTTACAAAGCACCGATTCGTTCATCAAGCGGGGTTTTTTTAAATTGTAGCAAGTCGGTCCGTTTTTATCAACTTTTTTTCATTTCCATTAACCATTTATTTTTTATATATTTTTTTCTCAATTATTTAATTTCCCTCTAAAATGTATAACCCCTATCCCCCTACGTATCCACCCCATAGGCTACTTCACTCATAACCTTACTCCATAACGTAAAACCAACCCTAGGGTAAAAACCCTGGGTACGTTCACATAGCAAAAACCATATACCCATAACATATCCAACCTAGGTACGTTCATAGCATACCATATACATCCCAACCTTTCCCAAACCAAGTCTTCCCTAGCAAACCCTTACATCCTAAATATCCCCAACCATAGGCAACCATGGGGGACTTTACTAGCTAACCCTATACATCCTAACGTACCAAACCCTAGCTAACCTCTCTTCCTCTAACCTTCCCTCCTAACTATCCCCATAGGCTCCCCTGGGTCGTTCCCCCCCCCTATCTCCTCTTCCCCCGGGTCCTAGGCCCCCTTCACATTCTACTTCTCCTCGTTCCACCATCAACCATTGCTCGCTCCTGCAAACCTTCTCCAACTTGTTATGTTGTGGGGGGGGTTGGGGTGGTTTTTGTTTGGGGTTTGGGGTTTGGTTGTTTGTTTGTGGTGTGGTGTGGTGGTGTGTGGGTTTTTTTTTGGTGTGGGGTTTGTTTTTTTTTTGGGTGTGTTGTTTTTTGGGGGGGGGTGTGTTTTTGGGTTTTTTTTTGGTTTTTTGTTTGTTTTTTTTTTTTTGGGGTTTTTGTTGGGGGTTTTTTTTTTTTTTTGTGTTTTTTCTTTTGTTTTTTTTTTTTCTTTTTTTTTTGTTTTTTTTTTTTTTTTTTTTGGTGTGTGGGGTTTTTGCTTTTGTTTTGGGGGGGTGTGGTGTTGTGTCGGGGGTGTTGGGGTGTGTGGTGTTTGTTTTGTGTTGTTTTGGGTTTTGGGTGTGTTTTGTGGTGTGGTTGTTTTGTTTTTTTTTGGGGTTGTTTTTTTTTTTTTTGTTTGGTGTTTGTTCTTTTTTTTTTTTTTTTTGTGTGGGGTTGTGGTTTTTGTTGGTGTGGTTTTTTTTGGTTGTGTTGGGTTTTTTTGTTGTTTTTTGTTTTTTTTTGTGGGTTTTTTTTTTTTTTTTGTTTTTTTTTTTTTTTTTTTTTATTTTTTTTTTTTTTTTTTTTTTTTTTTTTTTTTTTTTTTTTTTTTTTTTTTTTTTTTTTTTTTTTTTTTTTTTTTTTAAAAAAAAAAAGGGAAATTTTTAAATAAAAAAATTTTTTAAACGAAAAAAATTTTGTTACTTATCTACTTATTTTTGTATTGAAACCCATCGTTTTTTTTCCTTTTTTTTTTGGGGCCAATAAAAAGTGGGGGGGGTTGTGTATGTTGGTGTGGTGTGGTGTGTGTGTTGGTGTTTGTGTGGTGTGTTTGGTGTTATGTGGTGTGTGGTGTGTGTTGTGTTGTAGTGTGTGTGTGTGTGGTGTGTGGTGTGTGGGGTTTGTTTGTGTTGTGGTAGTGGTTGGTGTTGGTGTTTGTGTGGTGTGTGTGTTTGTGTGTGTGTGTTTTTGTGTCGTGTTGTGTGTTTGGTGTGTGTGTGTTTGTGTGTGGTGTGGTGTTGTGTAGTGTGGTGTGGTGTGTGTGGTGTTGTGTAGTGTGGTGTGAGGTGTGTGGTGTTGTGTTGTGTAGTGTGGTGAGAGGTGTGGTGTGTCGTTGTGGTGTGGTGTGTGTGGTGTGTTGTGTCGTGTGGTGTGTTTGTGTTTGTGTGTGGTGTTGTGTCGTTTCGTGTGTGTGTGTGGTGTTGTGTCGTGTGGTGTCGGTGTGTGTGTTGTGTTGTGTGGTTGTGTGTCTGTGGTGCGCGGTGTGGTGTGTGTGTGTTGTGTGTGGTGTGGGTCCGGTGTTTTGTGGTTGTGGTGTGTGTGGTTGTTGTGTCTGTGGTGTGGTGTGTGTGTTGTTGTGTAGTGT